TCTAATCCCAACTCTATCATTTAATTCTAACTTTCTCTTTACATGTGGCCTCATTACCCTATTGCATCGAAAAAATCAAACTTTGCTAGGACTCAACTCATGGTTATGATCAAGCACGACGGTGTTCAGATGCCATTTTCCTTCGGATAAAATTGCCAAGACCCTAGCCTTGCAACCGGTCTTTATGGTTGGATGTGGCTTGAGAGGATTTTTCAAAGTACACTGTGATTTTCCAGATCGAGCACAAGCAATCGCAACATATTTAACTTCTCCATCGTCTCCTTTCGTCGATNTGTGTGGCCTCATTACCCTATTGCATCGAAAAAATCAAACTTTGCTAGGACTCAACTCATGGTTATGATCAAGCACGATGGTGTTCAGATGCCATTTTCCTTCAGATAAAATTGCCAAGACCCTAGCCTTGCAACCGCTCTTTATGGTTGGATGTGGCTTGAGAGGATTTTTCAAAGTACACTGTGATTTTCCTGATCGAGCACAAGCAATCGCAACATATTTAACTTCTCCATCGTCTCCTTTCGTCGATGATCTTCTCTTCACTGGGAAACCCAATCGCCTCCCATACGCTGTGTAATAGTCAAACAAATCTTCATAGCTATTAAATGTCATCCCAACCTTGGGCTCTTCCTCTTTGCGTCTACATTTACTCTATCATCCATTTCAATCCCACTATTTTTTTCAATCACCTGCATAATACTTGAAGATTCTCCTTCCATCCCCAATTAATTCAACCCTCAACAGTGCACTTGTAAATTAAGCAACAATATGTCAACACCAAGTAGGCCTGAACAACAACAAAAAAAAAAAAAAAGAAGGTAAAAAGTCATTTCTTCAAAACAACCAGCAAAAAAAAAGGTATAGGAAACAATATCAATTGACATGAACAATGGGCAAAAATATGCATATGATAACACAATGCCTGAACAACAACAACAAAAAAAAAAAAAAGAAAGGTAAAAAGTCATTTCTTCAAAACAATATGTCAACAACTAGTAGGCCTGAACAACAACAACAAAAAAAAAAGAAGGTAAAAAGTCATTTCTTCGAAAGAGCCAGCAAAAAAAAAGGTAAAGGAAACAATAGCAATTGACATGAACAATGGGCAAAAATATGCATATGATAACACAATGCTATTTCTAAGATTTTTTTGTTGTAGCTTCTCACGTGTAGCTGTCCAGAAGTTGTATTAAATAACCATAGCTACTAATGGAACAACTCCAGTAAGAGTTGTTCAGGCCTATTCACACAGGAAATTTATCGAGCAATTTGTAAGCATACTTTCTCANGCAAAAATATGCATATGATAACACAATGCTATTTCTAAGATTTTTTTGTTTTAGCTTCTCACGTGTAGCTGTCCAGAAGTTGTATTAAATAACCATAGCTACTAATGGAACAACTCCAGTAAGAGTTGTTCAGGCCTATTCACACAGGAAATTTATCGAGCAATTTGTAAGCATACTTTCTCATACCCCTATGATACTACCAATGTGTGACAAGCGATTAAGTCATCAAGGCTACTAATAATAAAACAACCAACAAAAAAAAGAAGAGACAGATAGATAGATAACTAGATAGATAGACAGAGAGAGAAAGAGAGAGGAATTTATGAGTTGAGGGAAGATTACCACTGGTTTTGCTCGGAGATGGAGATGNGACAGAGAGAGAGAGAGAGAGGAATTTATGAGTTGATGGGAGATTACCACTGGTTTTGCTCGGAGATGGAGATGGTTTTGTCGGAGATGGAGAGGTCTGCTTGGCTTTGCTCGTTGGAATGTTTGGACAGTGGAGAGNACTAGATAGATAGACAGAGAGAGAAAGAGAGAGGAATTTATGAGTTGAGGGAAGATTACCACTGGTTTTGCTCGGAGATGGAGATGGATATGGAGATGGTTTTGTCGGAGATGGAGAGGTCTGCTTGGCTTTGCTCGTTGGAATGTTTGGACAGTGGAGAGACGGGGAGGTAAGTATAGCATGAGGATTAATTAAAAACAAAAAAAAAAGAAGAAGTATTTAGTTGGCAAAATTAATGACATGGCAAGGCCACGTCATCATTCACATCATAATGTTAATATTTTATGTCATATTTTTAGATCTTAATAGCATTATCCATCCATTTTTAATACGATAACTAAACGAGTCATATTTACCTAATAATACACTGTATCTGTAATAGTAAGNAATGAGGATTAATTAAAAACAAAAAAAAAGGAAGAAGTATTTAGTTGGCAAAATTAATGACATGGCAAGGCCACATCATCATTCACATCATAATGTTAATATTTTATGTCATATTTTTACGTCTTAATAGCATTATCCATCCATTTTTAGTACGATAACTAAACGAGTCATATTTACCTAATAATACACTGTATCTGTAATAGTAAGTCGATTATAACATCACATGAGGAGGTGGTATTATAGTCTAATTCAAGCATATTAAGTTGTAAATTTATTATTTTAATTAATAAATAAACAAAAACATTAATAATTATATGATTTTTTAGTCAATATGTAATTGTTATTTTATTATCCCATTCTTAATCCAATATCTTATTAAACATTGAATTGCAATGAATAATTTTTTTGTCTTATATTTAATCTTGTATTTTCTCAATCTACACAGAATTAGCCTATATTATCTAATACAATTCATTCTTTTACAATACGATAATCAAACGATATATGTATATTTTTAGTCCAAGTTATGAAGAATTTATCTTTCATAAATATTCTAATTACAGCATAAATGATCTACATTAAAGCAAACTGAGAAAGGAATATATGCGTGCACGGTCCCAAACACTTTTAACAGTTAAACATTAAAAAAACAATAATATATCATAACACAAATGAAAATGTGTGTTGTGATAGAAATTTGGCCTATCTAAATTTTCCGAATCCTTTGGTCCCCACACAAACAGAAACAGAGGGAAAAGAAGAAAAAAGAAAGGGATTAATCATGCCATCAACTTTGACCAATACTTCGATTATGTTCCTTAATCATAGTTTGGTTTCTATGCACATGTGAGATTTTTTTTTTTTTTTTTTTTTGGGTCACTATTTTAAACTTTTGCAGTGAGGTAATGACAAGGTTCGAATTTGCAATCTAATAATCCAATAACAAGTTATGGTGATCATTAAATCAACTATTAATTCTCACATGCGAGAGATAGAGAAGCAAATTTGATGAAGACTTTCGTAAATTCATATAATTGAATGTTAATCCTCTTTATCTCCGACTTGATTGTTTTAGGGATCACTAGAAACCCGATGAGAATAATATACTCAACGATTTATCTAACATTTCAGTTAAGAAAGTTGATCTAGTAATATAAAATTTCTTTCAAATTTTTTTTCTAGTTTAAAACCATCATCTCTTTTATACATTCTCCTAATTAATGTTAAATAATTCAATTAACACACTCTCCAATATCAAATAATTCACACTTCTCTCTCTCTCCTACGTCTCTGTTATTTTTTCTCTATTTATTTTAATTTTAAATTACGTAACAAAGAAAATTAATAACTAATACATTATTATTTAAAATATAAATATTATACAAATTAATATTAAATTTTTAGCATTGTATAATGCTTTGAAGCACAAAATTATTGCTAGTATCATTAATCATACAACGTTAGTGGTGCGAGTGTTGTTTGCCACACGATTCTCACAATGCCACTTTGTTTGAAAATTTAACAAATGATGTGGACTCTATTTGCACTACCATTTTAATCACCTGCAATCATATCACATTGCCCCCCCCCATTAAGTCCTAGTGAACCCCCCCTATCTTAATTGTCTTTTTCACCGCCACTTTAAAATGGAATCTTAACATCAATTTATGCGAATTTTAAAAAAAAAATTATTATTTTTTTGGTATTATATTTAAAAATTATGATAAAATAAATCAAGCCGTGATTCAAACGGACTCAATAATAATTGCAATAAAAATCTGTTGACAATTGCTCTATGCGATACATAAAATTTATAATTTGTTTCTTGTGTCACTCGTACCTCACCCTTTCTCGATGTTAAATCGTTTAAAATATTATCTAGATTAAAATAATTATTATATATATATATATATATAGATTAAGATAATTTCAATATTATAAAATTCATCCCAACCCTCTTAAAAAATAATTTTAAATATTCAAAATTATATTGTATTATAACTTTATCGTGAGTGAGTTGTAGGTTTATGACATTTTGGTCGTAATTTTGACTTTTTTGATAGGCATCAAAACAAAGAGTGATATCATTTTCAATTTATTTTTTTTAATTTTTTCTTGATAAATTATCTATTATGCATTTTAGCAAAGTAAATTTTATATAAAATAGCTCTTTTGCCATTAATAATAGATAAATCAATCAAGAAAATAATTGAAACAAAAGAAAAGTATTGAAGGAATTAAGATCTCTTAAATATAAATTTTTCTAGATTTAGATTTCTTTCAATACATTTTTTTTAAATTTTATTCTCGACGCCAACGGGTCATCCTCATTAACAAGTAAGAGACCCACTTATATACCATATGTCTCACTTGAATGCATAATAAAGGACGTGTAAAAAAAAATAAAAAAATATAATAAAAAGTATTTCACTCTAATTTTTTTTCCATATTAGAGCTGATTGCTTAGATCCCACCCAACTCCGATACCGGAAAAAAAAATGGATACAATACTGTTAAATTTTATAAATTTGTGAATTTAGATATAAGTTTTTAGATTTGTAAATGATCCAAGTTGTAAATAATCCTTAAAATACGTAAATAATCCTTAAAATTTATAAATAATCATTAAATTCCTTAAAAAATTATATATTAATCATAAAAATTATAATGGCGGTACCAAAAATTCAATACCACAACGAATATATATATAATTCAGTCGGTCCAAATTGATCAGTATTAGATTTTCTCCTTCCATTATGAGCTTGTCGTTATCCACGAGGCGAGGACGACGAGAGGCTTCTCGATAAAGTTAACTCCACAAAAGAAAATCAAAAACACAAAAAAAAAATAAAAACAAAAACAAAAACAAAAACTAAACAAATGAATTGAAATTGAAAAAACAGCTAATCTCTATCTCTCTCAGATTTTTCGATTTCCGTGTCAAGCAAGCATTCACCTCCATTGAGCTTGCTTCACCGATGGGCAACACAGTTTCAATACCCAAATACCCATAAAGATGATGAATCGTCTGACCTAACTTTTATTTTTCTTTCTTACTTCTTCATCTTTGTCTGATCTGCACCAACCACCCTTAATTCGTAAAGGGTTGTTTTGGGAATCGTCGATCTGTGTCTGTGCCGTGATGGGTCACGAAGTGGTTGCGATCGCTCCTTCGCCGCCGCCGACGTCGTTGGCACCTGGGTTTCGGTTTCATCCGACCGATGAGGAGCTGGTTAGGTACTATTTGAGGAGGAAGGCTTGTGGCAAGCCGTTTCGGTTCCAAGCTGTTTCGGAGATCGATGTGTACAAATCTGAGCCCTGGGAGCTTCAAGGTCTTCCCCCTTCTTCTTCTTCTTCTTCTTCTTCTCTCTCTCTCTCTCTCTCTCTCTCTCTACATACATACGTACGTACATATCTACATGTGTAGTACTTCTTCGTTTTTTGAATTTGGAGTGTTGTGGATTTTCTTGCTTATTTATGGTAGGTTTAATTTTCACCTTCATGTATTGTAGTTTTCGCATTTCAAATCTACTTTTTGGCTTGAAATTTTAGTCACTTTGCTCTTTATCTTTATATATATTTAGTTTTTGTTTTTTCTTTTCATTTTTTTGGTATTTTTTGCTTGATGAATAGATCGTTTTTTGTGTTTGTTGTGGATGTATCTACGTGTATCGGTAATTGCAAGAAATTGGAGCTTGAAGATATAAAATGTTGTAATGAAGATAAAGTTTTCCATAACTGGAACAGGAAAAAGGGCTTAGAGAGAGAATATTTGAAAAGATAACATTTTTTTTATCACTACAACTGGATAAAAGGCTAATGTGTCTGTTTGTGGGTTATTTATGCTGCTATTTTTAATTATTTACTCAAATTTACTTGTTTGAATACTGATTCAGGTCTTCCAGTCTCATTGTTGTGCTTCCGATATGGTCAAATTTGACTCCTTGTTTCACTATGTGACTCTCTCTTTTCATTTCTTTCTAATGTCATCTCTAGTTATATTCAGTTGTTCTTATTGTTTTTTAATTAATTTTTTGCTTGGTGTTTTGTACATTATAGTTCTTCTAAGCCCAATTTTCAGTTTTTCATATTGTTTCCCTTTCTGTATTTATCCCCCAATTTTGTTAGTGAATTGCCCGACTATTTATGTGTTGTAGACTATTCATCACTGAAGACTAGAGATCTAGAATGGTACTTCTTCAGCCCTGTAGATAGGAAGTATGGCAATGGGTCACGACTGAACCGTGCCACCGGCAAAGGGTACTGGAAAGCAACTGGGAAGGATCGTCCTGTACGGCATAAGTCACAGGCCATTGGGATGAAGAAAACACTCGTCTTCCATAGTGGACGAGCTCCAGATGGCAAGCGGACCAACTGGGTAATGCATGAATACAGGCTCGTGGATGAGGAATTGGAGAAAGCTGGAGTAGCACAGGTACAAATGGTGACTTTGGACGTCAAAAAAATAGTTTGGATTTTATCATTTCTGTTTTGCGAATTGTAAGCTTATAAGGAATTCTTTGTCATTGTTTTGGGAGGGGAAAGGATGCATTTGTGCTGTGTAGAATTTTTCAGAAGAGTGGTTTAGGACCACCAAACGGGGATCGGTATGCGCCATTTATTGATGAGGAATGGGATGAGGATGCAGCTCTCTTTGTTCCAGGAGGAGAGGCTGAGGATGATATGGCCAATGGTGATGAAGCACGAGTTGGAGCAAATGACATTGACCAGGTTTGTCCTTTTAATCCTATAAATTACATTGACCAGGTTGTTTTCTACTTGAATTTGTCTTTGGTTGGGACATCTTGTCCACCTTTGACAAGCCTTTTATAATTGTCTCTTTTCTTTTGTATTAGTAATATTCTCGTTTCCTACTTACCGAAAAAGAATAATATTCTCGTTTCCTATCAAAAAAAAAAAAATTATCATTTTGGATAGAAATTAGTGTCTGTATATGTCATGCTTGGTTTATGACAGAAAGTTTTCAGTTTTGTTCACCCTGACCTTTGTGGCAGAGAATGTCCACGATGTTCTAAAACTAGGTCTTTAAAGAACCTCTTGATCCTCAGGCTTTCCTTCTAAGAGAATCAGTTTTGGTTTAAGTTAATTGCCTTGTTACTCAAAACCAAGGACACCCACATTGGGTGTATAGATTGCCATATTCATAAAGGAAAGGAACTTTTTAACTGCGGTATGTATGCTTTTACTGGTACATGATAGTTTTGTTATCTGCCTGGAAGATCAACGATTAGAATGGGTGAGGATGATGGATCAATGGGAGTTGAAAGTATTTCAAGGGAAAGAGGGGATGCCAAATTTTATATTTGAGACATTAATAAAGGACTTGACATGAGTTCAGAAGGAATATGTCCCTTGATGGAAAATGTTGAAAGAGGTTGTCTAGCAAACACAGCTATTTGGACAGCTTCATTGATCAAGTGAAGTTGAGTTTTCTTGGAAATGTTCTATCGTGTTGTATCATAGGTCTTCTCGACGATTGTTTTCAAATTTTGAGATTGACTGGTGTATCTGATAATTTAGTTGTCTGGGATGTTGAAGATGTATGACAACATTGTTCAAAGTGGTTCGTTTGTTGGAACTCTGGTGTTTGAGAGTTACACAATTTCACTTATAGTCGAGAATAGTTGGAGATGCTAATGTATCTATCCTTTTTGAGAGGCCTGAAGGTGCTGAGCGCACTGCTCTAATGATAAAACTGTAAAGATCAATGCATACATCTGTGCCCGGCAGTTGGCACTCTATGGTTGATGTGGTGTTACAATTTAGTACCCACAGAATTACTTCTCTATCAATAGCTACAGAGATTGTTGGGGATTGATTTTTCTCGAAGACCTTCTCCTAGAGGGGCTCTTGAAGCTTCTAATGAATTGGCCCGGCAAAACTATAGGCATTTGTGTCATGTCACTGTAGAAGGGGCATTCAGGAATATTAAGTGAGTTGATTATTATTTCTAGAATCTTAGAGATTAATAGAATGTGGGCTTAGTAATGTCCCTCTTATGCAGCAAGTCATACAATATATGAAATTTGCTTCTTTGGGATGTTTGATAATCATGCATTACATAAATTTGACCCTGCCCACTTTCTGATTGCCGAGGTATCTGTCATAGGAGAACCATCAACTTAGACTGTATGATGCTGTCATGCCGTGATAATCTTATTTGTCAAAAAGTTCAGATAGAGTGAAGATGAGTCAAAAAATCTGGTCATAGAAACATAAAGGCAAAGTAAATGGACTCTGGCTCATTTCCAAGTTGTTGATCGTAATGGAATTTGATGTGCTGGGTTTGGTTGGTTACCTGAAGGGCTATCTAATCCAATCAACTCCATGAGCTGGGATGGAAAGTGCTGGGCTTGAATGCATGTGGCACTTGAATCTTTATAATGAACAAGAGAATGAAAAGATGGTCCACCAGGCCCCACATGCCTAAAATGTGCTATATTTGGTTTATCTCTACTCTAAATTGTAGCACAGAAATGCCTATGGCCATATGGGATGTTCTCATCCTCTTCATCCATGTCTAAAGTATTTTACCTAATGCCTATTAAGCATGATGTTGATAAACTGGTTTGTAATGTGTACCTGGTGGGGTGAGGTTAGCTCAGGGTACATTTCTGCAGAGAAGATTAAGGTAGAAATGGAAATGTAATTAGAGTATGCACGGGAATGTAGAAAATACAATATAGAAAGGCACTTGGAGTTCTAAATTCATCTAGAACCAGTTCTAAAGTTGAAGAGAAGTATATGTCATTACATCTTTAACACTAACCAAGTGTTGAACACCAATATTGTGGAATCGGTGGCTGAAATGATGAAACAGCATGATATTTGTACACACCAAAAGTTGGCTTAGCTTGTAGAATTACGAACCCAATAACTTTTCTGAGATTCATTTTTCTTGGAAGCAAGGAAGTCTCTCTATCTTCGAATACATGGATTTAAGAAATTATCTGTCTGTTGCTTTTACCATGCTGTATCAGTTTGCTGTAGTTTACAGTATTGTTTCATACTTGGTGATTTGTCCACTACATTCCTTGTTTACTGTTTTGGGGAACTTTAAATCTGCATTTTTTATTTCTGAAGACAACACGCACGCATATGCACACGAATACCAGTTTGTTTTTTGTGCCACAAACTATTTTCCTTATAGGTCCTTCAAGTCCACTTTCAACCCCAAAGTGTTAAATATGCTGTTTTGCTAATTTCTACAGCGCAAGGCTCCTTATCATAACGAAATTCCATGTAGCTCCCATAATCTTCCATTTGTTTGTAAGAGAGAAAGGTCAGAGGATCCAGAACCCATCTCTTTAGTCCCAGATAAAAAATCTAAGCATAATGATCCCAACTCTAGCCATGCAAATGGCTCGGAAGATTCAACTACAACAAGTAAGGATCTGACGGTCAAAACAACCACTACGAATTTTTCCTCAGCACTCTTGGAATTCCCTTTGCTAGAATCTATTGAAGCCAAAGAAAGTCTTCCAGTTAACGCACCTACATTTGATTCTTCTAACCTCGAGAAATCTGTGCCTCCTGGCTATTTGAAATTTATCAGCAATTTAGAGAATGAGATCCTTAATGTTTCAATGGAGAGGGAGACATTGAAGATTGAAGTGATGAGGGCCCAAGCCATGATCAACGTTCTTCAATCACGGATTGATCTTTTGAACAAGGAAAATGAGGACTTGCGAAGGCACGTTCGGGGTGTCTAGCTAGCTATGCATGGCACATGTATCCTAGTTTTGTATTTTGTAGCTTCTGGCCCCAGCCAGATAAAAATGCTACAAAAGCTTATTAATCTTCTGAACAAAGAAGATGAGTAACGGGGCCCATTTGAGCTGTCTAGCTGTTTTTGGTGCCTATGTAATCTATTTCTGTAGTTGTTTCATTGTAATCTGAACGGATGTATCAGTAGCCATTGACTGTGCTATCTTTTTCAGAGCAGTGTATTCAAATAAAGTTGGCATTCGGGATTTTGCTCATGGTAATGGTGAATTGTTCGGAGTTTTATCAGTGTCCATCTTAGTTGCCTAAAAATCTAAATGGCTGTGTTGTTGGTTGCCATTTTTTCGCATTCTTGTTACTCCCTGAATGCAAACTTGAACTGCAGGCAGCTACTGATGGAGTTTATGGTAAAGTTTATGCAGGGCATAGCAAATAGGGATGTTTAAGTTGAGGGCTTTTGCAGTGGGTCCCTGATGTGTGGTTTGGATGCTAGAAAAGTTGCTGCTCAAAAAACATGTTCTCCAGAGAGAGAGTTAAGTATAAAGAACAACATGTTCACAAACCAAAGCATGAACCAAACCATCCACCATTTGAAAAAAAAAAAAATTGGGGCCTAGTTGTTTTTTGGGGGAATTTTTATATATTGGATTGCAAACAATTTAAGTCAATTCACTCGAATATGATCCATTTATTAGAGGGTTTAACAGGTCCACTCGTTTATTATTCAAATTCGTTAAAAGCAAACTTAAACTTACTAATTCTGTATCAATTTATGTCAGATAATCGAATTTTGTTAAATTTCAAATACTTACTTAACGTTCATATAGGGGCTATGTTTTGGATTTGAAATTTTGTCTAGACACACCATTGCCTTTTTAGTTGTCTTAAGGGAAAATTAACAAAAAGTTCAACTTTACATACCAAATTTCTATCAAGCCTTATAAAACTTGATTAACATTAAAAAGTCCTATTTTTTTCATAAATAATTCCAAATAAATAAATAATCTACTTGAAGTCTTATTTTACCTCTCTAAACAATGAAAACAATTGTCCTATTTACCTTAAATAAGTAATAATTTATTAAATCATAAAACTATGCAATTAAGACTTGTGGAAAACTTAATCAGATTACTAGCTTGATACGCATTTCAAGTGGTAAAAAAGCAATAAAGTGAATATAATTTGTTTTTTAGTAAGTTGTAATATGTTTTAGAGTTAAAAACAAAATTATTTTCTAGCTATAAGGGGTAAAATAGGATATAAAATAGATTAGGAATTATTTTTGAAGAAAAAATACAGGACTTGATGAATCTTAAGAGTATAAAGTAGGACTAACTTGATATTTTTTTTCTTTTTCTGTCTAGGTTTCTCAATTTTAAATAGAGTCATGTGTTATTTGAACTTAAAAAATATAAAATAATGTGTTGATCTAATGATGTAATTTCATGGAAATTATTGAATTAATATTAAATTTTAATAATTGATGGGACCCACAAACAATCACATGAATTAAGTCAGTAAATTAGTTTCAAAATAAATAACTTTTGAATCATGTTATTTGAACATAAAAATTTGACTTAACTATATAATTTTATTTTAATCATCAGATTAACATCAAATTCTAATGTTTGGTGGGCCCACAACCAAATTAATAACTATAGTGAATAAATTATATCCAAATAAAATTGTTATTTTGAATAATTTTATTTGACTCTAAAAATTTATCGAGCCCTATTTTATAAATGTTTAAAGGTCTCACTAAATAAGAGGTTCTTGACAAATTCAACGGTAAATAATTTGTTGAGAAAATAAACGGGGGACAACTGAGGTGAAATTTCTGTCTGAATGTGATCATAAAAATTCGAACTCACAAGAAAAGTCCACTAAATAGATCCGAACCCACAAGAAAAGTTCACCAGTAAGACTTAAACGATGAAAAATTGTAAGTAATTTCAAAAGCGACTCGAATCATAGTCCAATCCCAACTTTACAGCACGGAGTTAGATATGGACCCTAAACGGGTCACAAGAAGCCATTAGACCACCAACTCAGTGGTTAGGTTTCTTTGCTTACACGTTCTGAACTGGTAAAAAGAATGGTTCTTGATAAACAACTTGGCACTGGCTGAGCCAGTGGCTGTGTCCACAAAACTGACGTCATGTTCTTGGTTTTGACGCAAGCGCATACGTCACCTTCCCCACAAACCCCGCTTTAATAGGAAAAATTTGCAATACGGTTGACGTCTTCATACAATCATGCCAAAATTACTGAAGATCAAATGAAATATTAAGTTATTAAAAGACTTATTTTATATATAATTTCATACATTATTTCGTCAATTTTACAACACGTTATTCTTTCTCTTAATATTAAGATTTTGGAATTACAATTAAATCAAATTAATTAGATCTATTCAATAACTTAGTCACTTAAAATTTGACTTCACACGAATTAAACAAAATTACATACCACCTATTCTGAATCCGAATTTGACCATAATCAATAATTAATAAATTAATTATTGGTTGAATAAACTTTAATATAATACTCAATGAGCATGATTTTGAAATGATATGATATGACCCAATCTCTTAAAGCAACTCCAAATTTGTTCTATATTCAATTTTTTTAGTTATTTTGGCAAACAAAATTACAAAATTAGTACTTCAACCCACTAGCCAGTCTTCTCGCCAAAATAGTTGGAGGTCTTCATCCTAGCCAAATCTGGAGAGGCCAATTGCTCACCAGTTGCTGCTTGGCTCTCTCTCCTTTTGGCCGTTTTGCCTCCTTTCCTACCAAGAATATCTTCCTTCCTCCATTTTTGCACAACGACACACACCGTAGGGGAAACTACTCTCACCCTTCAATCACTTTGCGTTCTTTGCCAAATTGGGATTTTTTTGGCTTTTTTAAATTAGGCATGAGAACTAGCAAAAAAAAAAATTAGGATTGAGATATTTAAAGTTTAGGTCTGAAATAAAATTAGGTATTTTTAAATTATATTATTAAAAGTTAGTTAAAATTAGTTGAAGTAATTAGATAAAATAGAGAATTTAATATTTAAATATATTTTGATTAGTTATTTTATTGAGCAAAGTTATAGTTGGTCTAAGAGAGTTTGGAATCTATGTTTAAAATACAGATAATACCCCTCTCTCTTCTTAATTATTCGTAATTATCTATTTATATAATAAAGTAGCTAAATTTCTTTGTCTTGTGTTTTTCGCGGCTCAAATTATTTCCTAATTTTTTATCCAACGATCAAAATTAGACTTTCATTATTTTTACAACTCTAAGACTCTCATATCTCATATAACTCTTTTATTCTTTATTTCATACACATAACTCTCATACGTATATAACTCTCTCTCTTAGATATTTTAAACATACTCTTTCATCTCTCATATAATTCTCTCTCTCTATTGCATATTTTTTTAGACACACACTCTCCCATTTCTTATATAATTTTTTCTCTATTTCATATTTCTTTTAGACACACATTCTCTCTTTTCTTAGACTTTTTCTCTCTCTCTCTCTCTCTTCTAACATTGTTTATCTTGATGATCCTAATTGGACTTCTTTATTAAAAAAAATTCAAAGTCAAGCTAATCATCAATTAAAAAAAAAAGTGACACCAATTACACAAAAAAAAAAAACAAATAAGAACCAAGCTAATCATCAATAGAAAAAATAAGTGATATTAATCACCAATAAAAAAAATAATAAATGATATCAATTGTACCAAAAAACACTAAAAATTCAAAGTCAAACTAATTATCAATAAAAAAATAAGTGAAACCAATTGCAAAAAAAAAAAATTTCAAAACCAATTATAACATTTTTTCCTTTTCTAATATTCATATTTTTTTTGAATACTTGAATAGTGTAAAATAAACACTGAAATGACAAAAGATTAGTTAAATCAATTTTTTTTTGAAATGGTGAAAATTTAATTTTGTTGATTTGGTTTAATTACAACGTGTGAATATTTATACAGAATCTGAGAAGTCACAGCGGCAAAGAATTTAAATTAATTGTCCTCGTAGCTACAAATAGATCCGCTAGGCAATGTTAGTTTGGTTGGACTTTTTTTTTTATTTTTTGAAAATTTGATTTGTAGTTCAATGTGGTTAATTCATTTGATTGGATTTAATGATTTAATTGTGTGTTCTCAATGATATTCCTTATTAAAATTAGACAGCCTATTCATTAGATTTACCCAGAGGTTGAAAAAATAAACACTTATTTGGTAGAAAAAAGAGTCGCTATGAAAAAATTTATGACATGATAATTTTGTAATGATGCTAATTTAAGTTCATAAGAATTTTTGAATTGTATTAATGTGATACGATTTTTTTTTCTTTCAACTCTTTAATTTCTTTTATTTAAGAATTTCTTAAATTTTCATTTGCTTAGTAAATTTTTTGTGTTAAGAGTGGTTTCGAGCACAAGTAATAACTAATAATTATATAAAATGTTTCAGAGTTTATCTCTTATATTTCTCATGTGTTTCAAACCATTAGTTTTTGTTAATTTTAAACCGTTAAAACATATGGATTATTTGGCGCCATCACCATGTACCACCACCGGGGTCACATTCCAAAACCCGCTTCCGCATTTGGTGACGTATTGGGCAGTGATGCTTACGAAGTAACCAACCAGTAACATAGAAACTTCTCCGAACTTCCTTCCTCGAAAGATCACTACGGAATTGACCTAATAAAAAGCTTGCTGTTTCTTTGTCGATGACTCTAAAGATAGATACACCCAATGGCCGCTAAACTCATGATACAGGTTCACTAATCACAACCCTCTCTCTCTCTCTCTCTCTCTAAAATTCTCTATTTTCTCTCTCTAAAAACCATAGAAATTTTTTGCATCGATCCATGTCTGTTGATTCGGCATCGTCGAGTACTTCACTTGCTCCTGGGTTTCGATTCCACCCAACTGATGAAGAACTGGTTCGCTACTACCTCTGGCGTAAGATCTGTCGGAAACCCTTCCGCGTCGACGCCATCTCCGAAATCGACATCTACAAAGCCGAGCCTTGGGACCTCCCAGGTCTACAACTCTCTCTCTCTCTAATGATTTTCCGGGTTTTTAATGTATTCATGACTGGGTGAACTATGGATATTTAGGTCATCTCTCTCTCTCTCTCTCTCTCTCTCTCTCTCTCCATAGGTGTACGTATTTCTTTTTCTCTCTCTAAAACCCTCTCTAGTTTTTCGATCGAATCATTAGGTTAATTGTGCAGGTTGGGGTTACCCATCTTTTCTTTTCTATATCTCCATCGACCCATCTATCTATATACACACGCAAGCGTGCGAGCACTCACACACGCACACTCTTATGTTTGTAGATTTGGCAGAAATGTGTGTATATATGTGTTTTTCGTTCACTCTTTGGAATTGTGAATCTTGATCGATTATTGAGGGAGTTAATCCGATTTTTGTTTCTAAATTTTGGGTGCTATTGCGAGTCCTACAGTATATCATTAGCCTTTGGTTCATCTCTGTGAAGCAGTCTCGGTCCTTTCTTTGTATGGGACTGATGCTCAATTTATTAGTTGCTGGGTAAATTTCGGAAATTTGGATCACGAAGTTTGATGAGTTATGTGGTGAATTGTGGGGTTTTAGGTAAGTCAAGGCTGAAGACTAGGGACTTGGAGTGGTACTTTTTCAGTGTGCTTGATAAGAAATATGGAAATGGATCAAGGACAAACCGTGCAACTGAAAGAGGGTATTGGAAGACAACGGGGAAGGATCGTGCTGTATACCATAGGTCGAAGACTGTGGGAATGAAGAAAACTTTAGTTTTCCACAGTGGTCGGGCTCCACGGGGCGAGAGGACTAATTGGGTCATGCATGAGTACAGGCTCATTGATGAGGAGTTGGAGAAAGCTGGAATTCTTCAGGTGGGGCTCGTACAATTGTCTAATAATTTAATATTTCTGTTTTCTGAGGGCTGCCTCTCTTTGCTCTAGGATATATTTGAGTTTTAGGAGTGAAATAAAACATGAATGTCAAAGATGGTGCAATTTGTGTATACTGTACGTCTGCTTTTGAATGTGGGAAATGATACAAATACAAAGAAAAAAGATTTCTGTTTAACAAAACTAGGAGTCTTTGGTAATAGGATTTAAATAACACAAAATGCTGTCAGAGACTCAGATTTTTGATAACTGGTTTATTATGCTGAAAATGTAATCACTACTTAATGGTCGCTAGTTTTCCTGGATTCTTGATCTAATTTTCATTTTTTTGTGATTGGGAAGGATGCATTCGTGCTGTGCCGAGTATTTCAAAAGAGTGGTTCGGGGCCGAAGAATGGGGAGCGGTATGGGGCGCCATTTATTGAGGAGGAGTGGGAGGAGGATGAGTTGGATGTGATCCCGAAGGAGGAGGCTGCAGAGGAAGTGGTAGTTGCTGATGATGCGTACTTAGGTGGAAATGACCTTGAGCAGGTTTGTGCTCCCTACGTGTGTATCTATAAGTATGTGTACCTTCCTTGCTCCTCATATACACTTGTCAGAATATTGTGGAGTTGTTTCCATGGTTTAACTAATGTAGTAGTCATGGAGTGATATTAACATGCAGAGTAAAATGACGAATGGAAAGAATTAAAGATGCCTGCCTGTTAACTGCACTCACTTTTCAGTTTTTTTTTTTGTGAAAGGGAACTATGTGAAAATAATCTGGATTCTGTGAAGGAATGCAAAGGTGGGGAAGCTGGATGAATTAAGAACTAGATTAGTTGCTGGGCTAAAGAGTTTCCAGATATATGCTTACCGAAAAAACAAAATCCAGTTTTAGCTTGGTCATGCATGTTGCAATTTTTTTCGTTACATCTGAACCCTATTAATGAATTCTTAGAAGATTTTTGAAGGATTTTTTGTTTGACCTACCATTGAAAATATACCCACCTATGAGAACTTGGTTAAATTATTTGGGCAATGTATAAACGAGGTCTAAGAATGCAACCTTAAGCATGCTTTTCAGAAAGATGACATGTGCATCACCACTTAGACAAAACTATGGCTATTGATTGACAAAAGTGCCCGTGCTTACTAAAAGGAAATTAACAGAGACGGTGTCTTAAATGTTTACACAAATTTAATGCCCAAAATACGATGCATAAAGAATATAGGCTTCAAAAATCTATCAGCTCTTGAATTCAAGTCTTCACTTTGGTGCAAAAGAATATAGGCTTCCTATTCCTTCACCTTGTTATATTAGCATGAATACTTTATGAATGGTACATAAAATTGATGGAGAGATACCCTCGCTTCCAGGCTTTCTGTTCATCTTTTTAATAATCCTGGCTTTAGTGGGGGTCATGTCATTGACTCATTGTCAACAATGCTAACTCAACGCTTTTAACCGCAAAGAATAATAGAATAACAATCCCTTGAGTTTTAAAGTTCGTTGTCAATTTTGATGAGTACTTGCCCTCTTGAATCGTGAGCATTTTGTAACTTGGATTACAATTTCATGCAACTTAAGATGGTGCAAAGAAACTGTCTCCTTTTTTTCCTTTTTTTTTTTTTGTGTTTTTTCTGTTCTAGTGTGTCAGAGCTTGGAATTTATAACATTAATTTGGGTGATTGAATTTATGATTTTATCTACCTAAAGCTGAATTAGGTTCTCTACCTTTTCATTGTTTCTTCTCTCATTCTAGTTTCTCAGTGTTATTTAAGGCGTAAAGCGAACCGAAACGATCAAGGCTCCTAACGCCTAGGCGAGGAGCGAAGCGAACAGTTAAAAAAAAAGTAAATATTTTAGTTTAATTAATTCTAAACATCTAACTTCTAATTTTATATATACTAAATATTTAAATGCAAGTAAAATCATAAATATTTAAATTAAAACACTATCACACTACAATCAAAGGAACAAAACACATTCACATGTACTGAATAACAGAAGTAGAATCAGGATAGCAACAGAAGCAGAATGAGAAAAAAAAACAGAAGCAGAACAGGAGCAGAATCAATTGTAAACAATTTCATATGTACTGAATAACAAAAGCAGAATAGGAGCATATTCACATGTACTGAATAACATTTCATAACAGTTGTAAATAATTTCATATTGATTGGATAGCAAAATAGAAGCAGAAGCAGGACAGCAACAGAATCAAAAAAAAAAAAAACAGAAATAGAATGAGAAAAAAAAAAACAGAAGCAGAACAAGAGCAGAATCAATTGTAAACAATTTCATATGTACTGAATAACAGGAGCAGAACAGAAGTACATTCACATGTACTGAATAACATTTCATAACAGTTGTAAACAATTTTATATTGACTGGACAACAAAACAGAAGTAGAATCAGCAAAAAAAAAAAAACAGAAACAAAATGAAAAAAAAAGGAGCAGAATAAAAAAAAAAAAAAGAACCAGAAGAGATAAAAAAAAAGAGAAATAGAAGAGAGAAGAAAAAGAAGAGACTTACATGTAATCAGCGAGGAAGGAACAGCGATCGTGTCTGTCGACTCTGTCCAGCGATCGTCTCTGTCGACTCTGGCCAGCGATCGTCTCTGTTTGTGTCTAGAAATTTGAGCAAAATTAGGATTTGAGGACTATATTATGGGACAAAGGGATAATTTAGTGTATCAGTTAGGGGTGCAACTCGGGCGGGTTGGACAGTCAACCCTAGCCCAACCTTAGGTATATAATCTTCAACCCTAACCCTAACCCTAACCCTAACCCTAACTCTACATCGGGTTGAAGAACTTAACTTGAGCACTGCCCGAGTTTAATTCGGACGGGCTTGGGATGAATTTAGGTTAATGATTTCAGGTTATTTTATGGGTTCAATTCAGGTTGAGTTCAGGTAGAATCCAAAATATATTTGTTGTTCTAAACCTAATACATATATATTACATAATATTCATATAAATTAACAACTAATAACTTTGATCAAGTTTTTAACAGTAATAATGCTAGAACAAAAATAAAAATGAACGAAAGAGACAGAGAACGATAGAACAAAAATGAAAAATCAGTGCTAATGCTTTATATATATATATATATATATTTTTTTTAATTTGTCAGGTTCGGGTTGAACCCGTGAATCCGAGACCTTAATCTGAGTCCAACCCAAATTGAATTCGGATTGGAGTTTTTGACCCAAGTCCAACCCAAGTATTAAAAATTTTTGCCTAAACCCTAATTTTTTCGGGTTGGGTTCGGGCTGAAATCGGGTTGCCCAACCCAAGTTGCACCCCTAGTATCAGTATCTTATAATTTTTTTTCCAATTGCCCAATCTAACGGTTTATAATAAAAATAAAACAACTTCGCCTCGCATGACTAAGGCGTTTGTTTTTTTGCCTTTTGATTAAGCGAAAAGCGCTTGCTTTTCTCGTTTTTTTCTTGCTTCAGTCACATTCGCTTTGCCTGGGGTGCTCAAGGCGAGATACCTTCGCTTTGTGTCGCTTCTTGCCTAGGCGAGCTTTTCAAAACACTGTGGTTCCTGTTCTAGTTTATCGGAGCTTGGAATTTATAACATTATCTTGGGTGCTTGAATTAATGATTTTATCTACCCAAAGCTGAATTAGGTGCTCTACCTTTTCATTGTTTCTTCTCTCATTCTGGTTCTTGTTCTAGTTTGTCGGAGCTTGGAATTTATAACATTATCTTGGGTGCTTGAATTAATGATTTTATCTACCTAAAGCTGAATTAGGTGCTCCATCTTGTCATTGTTTTCTTCTCTCATTCTGATTCCTGTTCTAGTATGTTGGAGCTTTCCCTTGTCGCATTTTCATTTTTCAATTATAATCGAACTCATTGTCTCGAGACTTAATGAAATATTCCGTGATTTTATATGAATGATGGGAAGAGAATCAATTTTGAACTATTTTGAATGGAGGTGATCTTTGATTAACTCTTGATTTAATTCATCCCATGATTCTTGTTCAATTTCCCCTACTTAAATATGTTTATGAGACTTGGAGAATGAGCAGTACAAAAGAACACATTACTTAAAGTCTTGATTGGTCAAGTTAGCAATTGATGGCTGATGTTCTTTTAGACTTTTACTGGTTTCTACAACCTTATGAAAGATTTTAGAAATATATTAATTATATGACACATTCTATACTCATGGTAGTGGACTAAGAAGACGTGTGAAAGGTGAGAGAACTTGCTTTTGTGGTATCAAGCGATCTCGTTAGGCTCAAGTGTTGTTAATAAACTTTGAGCAATGAGATAGCATCTAATTGATGCAATATGGGCTTTAGCTTTGATATCGTAATTATTTGGGCTTGGGAACATATTGGATTTATGTTGTTATATTGCTTTTTTTTTTTAAACCGATCAGTCTGGCTAGTAATCGTCCTATGGATGATATAACCCTTCCAGCAAAGACTGATTAAATGGATGAACCTTTGTTTTGATTCGCATGTGGCGACTTAGTAGGGTAATTGTGCATCTGATGACCTTTTTTCTTTTTAGAGAGAGAGCCTGAAGCTTTTGAATGCTCTTAATTCTTTTGTTTTCCCTGATTCTTTCTTGAGGAATTTAGAGGATTCTTGGTGGTTTTGAAGATCTTTGTATCCACCACCAATTTCCTTATTTCACAGCTGGATGGTGTTTGCATTCTAATGAAAGAAGTGCTAATATGCAGATTAAAAAAGAAGTGTCAATACGAGCCCATGGTTTTGAATTTATTTTACCATTCCTTGATCCTGCTAAACCAGCTTCTTGGCATTTCAGGCTATAATTTCATTTAGATTTAGTGCTTGAAGTTCTTCAATCAAACTACTTGGCATGGGGAATTATGAAAATAAGAATGGTTGACGACCCAATGACTGTTGAAGAGCCAACAATTCAAGTAGAATATCCTTTCTAATCAACATGGATTTTTGTTGAAATTCTATGATCCAAACGATGGTTTCTAATTGTTACCGGTGGTTCTATCAAAAACACTAGTATATTACTGAGGTGGTCATTGATGCCATCACCTCAAGAAAATTGTAAATAAAGAAAGAATTGGAGTTTGTTGTAGACTGATTACATGCCGTACTTGATTTGCTCTTAAGTCCAAAACAAAAGATCCATAACGACATTCAAATGAACTTCCTTATTCAGTAATATTTTTTGTTATGGAGAAGCCCTCTCTTTTTAAGGGGAAAAGACTAATTATATGTTAAACAGGAGTCCCCATTGATCTAGTCAACATCAAATAATTAACATCAATGAAGAGAATTTTTTTTTTTTTTGGTTTTAAGTTTTTGATTTTTTTTTTACAAATGATTAGGTTACTTTGATTCAGATAAGGTTTGAATTGTTGAATATTTTAAATCTGATCATAAAATCCCTCTACATTGCCATTAGTACATGCAGTTATCTGTATAAAATAAATGAATTGTGATTTGATTACTTCATGCATTAGTTGGAGGCCATATCAAGTATAGAACAAGAGCTACAAAGTTCCATAATGGCTTACATAGCCCTAGTGAAACAATGGTCTTTGTTAGCATCAGACTTCTGATGCAGGGGATTTGGTGTTTGCTATGACAAGCAAGATTGACTTTTACCTTGTTGGTTTATGCTTCTTTTCTGTGGGTTGTGTACTCATGGTTTACCTATGGTGTGAGATCTACACTGAGATCAAAATCTCCATGTGCTCATATACAAAAATTGAGTAGGATAAGTATCCTTTCAGGTACTAGATTCCCTCAGTTCTGGGATCACCAAACATGTATTCATTGTTAAAAAATTGAATTTTGCAATTTCAGTTATGAGTTGCTCATGTAGGGTGAGATCATCTTTGGTGTGTAAAATTTGGCACCATTTGCTACTTGCACTTTAAACTTTCTCTTTGTTTTGTAATTTCTTTTTGTACATTGTAAGTGTAGTGATGTGTTTTTTTTGGTAATTTTCCAATATGTCCATTTTTAAAATTCTGAAGAAAGCTGCTTCTTACCAGATTCTTGGGACAAACTTTCCATCAGAAGATGCTACCCTTCTGCCAAACTTCTATTTTGGGGATAATAGCAACTATGCTGAGCAATCAACACAGTTTATTGATAATGCACAACAGCTCTTGGTGGGTGAGGATCTAGATCATTGCAGTCTAGGACAGCCTGATGACCAGAAGTTATTTGAATTGCCAGTGCAATATGATACGAATGCAAAACCTGAGAAGCAAGAGCACATTGGTGAATCAAGCAAGACCATGAATCCTGTGGATGTAGATTACTTACTTGATGAGCCATTCTTGGATGCCAGTGATAACCCTCAATTTGATGATGGAGCATTTCTGGAAACTAATGACCTTTCTCTTCCCCTTGAGGCAGATCCCGTGGCTTATGACATGCTTGAAGAGTACCTTACCTATTTCGATGCAGATGGTGACAAGTTGCAGTTCATGGGTTTTGACTCTTCAAATGTGATGGAACATGAGAATCTTGTTTCTGATCAAGCATCACTCACCCAGGAGGTAAATTGCAATTTTTAATATTGACCACTTTCGCTCCTGTTTATTAAGTAATGCAACTTGTTGCTATGCATCAGCAGGTGAATGGAGAAACCCAGGAAGTGGATTGTTCGAGCCAAAAGCTCTCAGAAGGACATAGTAATAGCATTGCTTCCACTTCAAAGCAAGAGTTGACAAAAATTGGATCAGGTAAATGATACTAACTTCACTTAAGCAGCCCCTTCCCGCTAGCCTCACTAGAAATCTGCTTCTTGAATTTGTTTAGCAAGCAGTAGTAAGCTGTACATTTTTTAATCAAGTTTGCTTCACCATTTATGCTCATCTCTTTGTCATTTTTGTGTTCCTTCTCATGGTGCAGATTTTCAGCACCCATTCACCAAACAGGCTCATCGCATGCTGGGCAGTATCCCTGCTCCACCTGTATTTGCTTCAGAGTTCCCTACAAAAGGTGCAGCTCTTCATCTGAATTCTGCTTCTCAGTCTTCCAGTTCGGTCCATGTTACTGCTGGTATAGTCCAAGTAAGAAATACAACTTTGAGTGGCAGTGGGACAGGCTGGTCGATTGGTAAGCATGATTTCAATGTTGTTCTCTCTTTTGACCTGTCACGAGGTGATGGTAATGATGCCATTCTGGAGCCAATGGTTAGCATGCTCACTGGAAAGGCTGGTCCGGCGATATCTCAGGGTTGGTTTTACTTTATATTCATGTGGGTCCTGATTATTTCCATGAGCTTCAAGATTGGGACCTGTATTTGTGCCAAGTAAAGTTCACAAATAGGATAGGGCTGCTAGTTAACTTATATTACACTCAAATCAGGTATGCTGGATTGAAATTCACACACTTGGTGGATATCGACTCCTTTTATTCTGTGAAACATAAAGACGTATTGCAAAAATTTCACTATATTGATTCTTATTATGTTGAATTTTTTATTATGCCACTCTGCAAGCTTGACATTCAGTATTTGCAACGGTCTGCTGATTCCCTCCATTCCTTAGTGGGTTTGTTCTTGTTGTCAGGGTTCTTGTTAGGTGATTGAAATGAATTTATGAAAGGTTCTATTGTCATAATAGGTTTGGTACATCTTACCTTGTTTGAGATCTCATCTCATAATACATGATGATAAAGTTGATTTATTAGATGCTGATTATTGTTTTGATTTGATGGAAATGTCGCCGAAATGAAATTTCATGGGAATTTCTAATATTGACGAGTTTGTCGGTTTAAGTTTTTTATGATTTGCAGAATCAACCTTCTGGATTCTGGCAAAAAGTTGAGAGTTTTATTATCCTCCAAGATCACTCAGTTTGGAATTGGTTATCAACCTGTGGATGCTAAGCTGGAGGCTGCATTTCTTTCAGTTGTCCTTTTTCGTGTATTGTTTTTTGTTTCAATTTTTACTTCGTTCTGTGGTGGGTGGGTTGTTACTGTCAAAATGACTGTAATTTTGTAGATCACAAAATTATATGGCTGTGATCGAGTGAGATTGAGCTTGGAGACCGACAACTCGCTAATCACTCGGAAACACCTAATTTATCTACAAGGGGTATTTTTTTTTTTAAGGTTATAAACATGGATAGACAGATAGGTCATTTCATATATCTGTCAAGAAGTATTATTTTTCAGTATCAACAATTATTTGCATGGGATCTAATTGCATTTACGTCAAGGCCAAAATTAAAATCCCATCATGTGCTATATGAGTGCTAAAGAATAAGTTTAACCTGAATGAGTTGTTGCCATTATGGAGACTTCAATCGAAGTGTTGGGCAAGAAAATCTTAGTTCTTACCCACCGCCGGTTGGTTGTAAGGGGCATTAACCATTGAGACATGCATCCAAAATGAGATTTAAATGAATCAAATTATTTGTGCTCCAGATTAACCTGTCTGAGGCTCGTCCAAAATTCATTGACAAATGAACCAAGCAGTCAATTTTCGGAACTTATGCTTAGCTCAGCTCAACGAGCAATTTAGATGAGCAGATTAGAGACCACATAGGGTCGAACTATTTTGGTTCAGTTCAAAGTCGGTTCATAAAATAAATGAGTCAGACTTGAATTTTCTTTTTTAAAAAAAACACATTTAAACTGCAAACAACCAAACTTAAGCAACTTACACCACCGAGTAGGGTGATCTAGTGAGATTATAACCAAACTTCTCACCTTGAAGTTGAAAATTCAAGTCTTGAAATTCACATTAGGATTTGGTAATTGATTACGATGCTAACCTAGTTAAGTTCATTCTCCAGAGGAGTACGGACACGGTCAGAAATCTCATGATTTCACCAAAGATGACTTGTTGAAATAGTTTCTGGACACTCTCTTTTGCTCCTATTCCTTTTTTAATTATGAAAAAAAAAAAAAAAACTTAAGAACTTACTACTGAGCTCGGCTCGACTGATTTGAACTCTTAATTCTATGATCACTCAACTTAAAAAGACCAAATTCGACATCCTCAAGCCCATCCATATGCACCTATCCAAAGTTTCATATAATCCTGAAAAGCTCCTAATCTTAAACTAATCATCTCAACATCAACTTAAGTGCATATGAACTCATTTAAATATGCTTGGGCGGCAAAAACATTCGAAACATTTATACACTGGAGTACAAGATGAGCATATACGTGAAAATGATATCTATCTCCAATTACAAACACTTGCAACAATGCATCAAATCTAAAATCTTCTAATAATTACAAAACCCATCACTTGATAACTTCGTCATTGCCAGCACCTAATCTCATATATTAAACTAAATAATTCCCCCTAACTAACGGATTTAACTATGCCTACCATGAACAATCCGACACCCAACAAGCTTAAAACCCAGAAACCAAGCACATTTGACATCACAACACACACACACACACACGTTTAGACCAAAAAAATTGGTTACCTTTAGCTTAACTCTTTCCAGTATGGCCAATGAAGAGGGGTGGATTCCCATTGTCGAAGAAGACTCGGTTGGTCGTCGAAGCGTGCCAGATCAGAGGAGCGGTGGTTTTGATCCACTGACTGGAGTCTACCACTCCCTCCTTCAACTTGATAAACATCAACAAATCCCAACTAGGCCTGACCTTGACACAGCCACATTTGTGCTATCACAATTCCCACAAGCAGACCAAGCCGAGTCACGAGTTGCACTTATTGATTCGGCTACTAACCACCGAATCACTTATGCCGAGATGCACCGCTCAATCAACAAGCTTGCCTCTGGCTTGTACCATGGGCTTGGAGTCCAGAAAGGTGATGTCGTTTTCATCCTGTCCCCAAACTCACTCTTATATCCAATTATGTGTCTCGCTGTACTCTCCGTTGGAGCAGTTCTTACCACAGCCAACTCACTCAACACCGAGTCAGAAATCGCCAAGCAAGTACATGACTCGGGTGCCAAACTTGCCATTGCTTCCCCGGAAGAGATACACAAAATACTCCCTACTGGAGTGCCAACGCTTCTCACTTCACGTCCGAAAGATGACAGTGCACTTTCCATTGAAGAGCTGATTGATAGCAGTGAACCACTAAATGTGCCACAAGCCCGGCCAGCTCAGTCTGATACCGCAGCAATCTTATACTCTTCAGGGACTACTGGAAAAAGCAAAGGTGTGCTACTAACACATGGAAACATCATATCTATCATGACACTACTCAGATGGTCCGTGGACATATCATCGTCTCAAAATGATGTGTTCCTCTGCTTCATACCCATGTTCCACATCTACGGTCTTGCATTTTTCGCCTTGGGATTGTTTTGTGCGGGTATTACCACTGTGCTGATGCCAAGATTTGACTTCCAAGACATGCTCAAAGCAATCCAAACTCATAAGGTTAATAATATTGCAGCAGTTCCACCAGTGATACTTGGCCTAGTCAAGTATAATACAGGTGGATATGACCTGTCCTCACTGAGAAGGGTGGGCTCGGGGGCAGCACCACTGAGCAAAGAGGTGGCAGATGGGTTCAGAGAGAAGTTTCCATGGGTTGAGCTAAGGCCAGGCTATGGGTTAACTGAGACTAGTGGTGGAGCAACATTCTTTCCTTCCAATGAACAAGCTAAGGCTCGTTTGGGCTCATCAGGAATGTTGATTCCAAGCTTTAGTGCTAAGGTGGTAGATTTTGAGACTGGAGTGGCATTACCACCTTATAGGGAAGGGGAGTTGTGGTTGAAGAGCCCTGCCGTAATGAAAGGGTATTTGGGAAATGAGGAAGCGACAACTGCGACCATTGACCCAGATGGGTGGCTGAAAACTGGAGATCTTTGTTACTTCGACGGAGATGGATTTCTATACATCGTTGATCGGATAAAGGAGCTTATCAAGCACAATGGATATCAGGTAATATCAGTAATATTCAAGTTATTTGGACAGAGAGATTAAGATCATATCTGTGAACCACCAAACAAATTGTTATGAATGCAAGTGCAGGTGGCACCAGCAGAACTGGAAGCACAACTTCTGACTCATTCCCAGATTCTTGATGCAGCTGTTATACCGTACTTAGCTAAACCATCCATCATCTTCTTATTCTCTCTCTCCATTTATCTATCTATCTATCTATCTACTAAGTATATACATATATGTGTGTGTGTGTAAATGCATGTGTAAATGTATAATGTACACATGAAGATATATCTGACAAAGTAAAATCTTACAGACTTGAAGATGAAGAAGCAGGACAGATACCAATGGCATATGTGGTGAAAGCAGCTGGTTCTGAACTCACTGAAGTCCAAGTTATTCAATTTGTTGCTGGCCAGGTTTGTGTTTGCCCCTCCATCCTCTCTCCTCAGCAACTATCACAAAAAGATAAAACTCTAATTCCCAGGTTTAAACTCTCAGGTAGCCCCATACAAAAAAATTAGAAGAGTCGCTTTCATCAATGCCATCCCAAGATCAGCTGCTGGCAAAATTTTGCGGAAGGATTTAGTTTCTCTAAGCAAACAGAGAGGCATCTCCAAACTGTAACAATCCCATGTTGATTTCTCCTTTTTCTACTATAATATTTAGATCTGAGAAAGGTCATCTTAAATGAGTGCATTGGGTATCCTTCATGTTACAGCATTACATTGGAGGAAAATATATATAGATACAAGAGCATGAGTTTAAGACACAAAAATAATTCACAGGATATCCATTCTGTAAAAGCTATATATTGGCAGAAGAGACACAGATAGGAGCATGAGTTTAAGACAAAAAGTATGCATAGGGTATCCATCATGTTACAGCATTGTATTGGCAGAAAAGATAAAGATATAAGAGCAGGAGTTTAAAGACAAAAAATATGTTCATGTTACAGCTATATATATATATATATATAAAAAGGAAATCAGAGCATGATACTCAATTTTCATGGTTCACTATGCTCAAACCTTCCAAAACAAATAAACATTTAAAAGGAGCCACTTTCCGCTGGAAGATCATAGCATTCATTACTGGAAAAAAGTAGTAATCTTCTTTGGCAGCAAACACAGTGACAGAATGGCTTCTTTTAGAACATTTCAACTTTTTCCTGAAACCCAAATGAAGATCATAGATGTTTACAGAAAGTGTATATTATACAAGGGACTCAATAGGAGCAACCAAGAAAAGAGGGAATGCAGGGCACCAAAGGGTACATGTTCATTTCAGTTCTTTTCAAACGTAATGTAACACCCACAGAAGCCACAAATCATCTATTTATACCCCAGAACACCAGATTTCTTATTAAAGTGGCTAAGTTTTGAAGTCGTATTCAAGATGAACGGCCTTAAAAGCCACATAACATGAGAGGACAATTTTATTAATCTAAATAAACAATCAATTAAATTGTAGTACAAAAACGCATATAAGGGATGAAAAGTTACTGTTACACACAAGGGAACCTTACAGAAACAGAAAGAGTTGCAGTGAGAAGATAAAAATAGGGAATTCGAAACAATGTACCAAGAAAGCAGTGGGAGGTGAATTAAATTCTTATATCAATGTACACCACTCATCTCTTGAAATGATCAAGATTGAGCAAAGACTTGAAGATTCAATCCCTCATTCAAGTTGACCATGTAGACGTAATTATGCTTGGCTGCAAATATCTTTGTAGAAAAGAATTACTCCTGGCAAGGGACATAACTGTATACAGCAGGGACCAGATAACATCGTACCAGTAAGCTAGGAACAACAAAATGCAGAAGACGGACTAGCGGATCATCAAAACACAACAAGGCTCCTCTTGATCGGTTCTTTGTGGCTTTCCCCCAAGCTAGGTTTTCAGTCTTTTAGAGCTGCCCATTCCCTACCTTCTATTGTGCCTATCTATTATGAATTAGGGTCCTCGAACCCGCTTATTCCGACACCCTGATACTAGAGTAAGTAAGCCCGTTAACTTCAATTAGGTATCTTTCAAAAGGCAATGCCAGGATAAAGAAATTTTGGGTCTGTTTAGTCAGCCCAAAAAATCGTAATTGTGTCCTTTCTGCATTTATAAGCAACATGAAGTAGTCCAAGTTGGTCAAATACTGACATGGCATCTTGAGAAAGTAGAGGGGTCCAACTTCAAAACCCATTGCAGTAAAAATATACTCATCTGAATAAAAAATGTTAAGCTGCATCTCCATTTGTAACCAGTAATGTCCACATATAACAAGAAGAATTGGAATGGCTCTTCTTATACCCTTAAAGGATACCATTAATAACATCCACTTTCAGGCCAGTTGAATCCAAAGACGTTGTATGACATCATGAAATGTTTTCATCATTATAAAGCATCCAACCATCCTGACCTAACTATAAACACCAAACTACAACCACTCCACCATAATACTTGGCAGCGCATTCAATCAAGTGAAATAATAGTGGGTAAGGCCCTTTTACATGTCAGAGGCAGCAAGTGCATCAATCAACTCACAATACTTTTTGAAATGATACAAATACGACATAACTCTGAGGATCAATAGCAAAAAAATAAAACAGAAACCAGAATTTTGATTGGAGGGCAATGACTAGGCTGTGCCGAAATCCACATCCTAGTCTTGGTCAGCTTCTTCTATTTCTTCATCCTCTGGTACCCCACGAAGATAGAGAACATTGTTACATCTGCAGATGCAAGAGACAGAAGATGCAGTCACTCACCTGACCAAAGTAATTCACCATACTCATAGCTATTAGTTCATAGTACTCACTGCTAGATACCACTGTGCTTATATCACTAAGGCACCAGAGTCAACAGTTCATATGAAGTAGAAGTGACTTTCTGTGCAGAAGGGACCTACTCTACATGGTAACCTTTATTAAAACTGAACTAAGATGATGCCAAATAAATGTAATAGGCAATCTGCTATTTCAACTGAAGTAATGCACATCATCTGTTTATGCGTATAATAAGGTATACTGACGTTCTTACCTAACCAAAAACGACAAAAAAAAAAGATACTTTATTAATTACGTTTCTTGAGAAGCCTTTGTAATTCTGCAAGTCCATTGACACATTTTAAACCTCTAGCAATTCATATAACCCAAATGAGGACGTAAACATACAAATACCATAATCTACATCTTTCTCAGGATATGACAAGACAAAAGTATTCTTAGGATACTAAACTTCAAGAAAGAAACAAATTGAGAAATACCTGATCAAGATCTCTCCAAGACTTCCAGTGAACTGTCCATCAATATATTCTTCAGCATTAGCCAGCTGCAGATAAGTCCCATTAGTTACAAAATGGAAATCATAAACACGGGTCAAATGCTGAGAAAGGTTGGAAATAGCTGATAAATCAATTCCCAATTTCAAAAACTGGCAAAATACAAGAATTGTGTAGAAAGAATGTTAAATACATACATACATACACATGCGGAGCATTTAAAATGAATATAGAAGAGACATTCGTCAATGTGGAAATGCTTCAAGTTTACTAGTCTGCTAAGACAATCTTAAACTGCAAGCTATTCAACAAGGTAGCTCAGGAGCCATAAATTAAGTCATTGACATAAGGCAGACATGGCCACGAAGAATAAGGCGCGACTGCAGACATTTGCTTAAGCACCTATGCATGCATGTACTAACAAAAACTTACTACAAGCAAATCTATCAAAAATAGAGTTTACAGTGATACCTGCAAGTTCATGTAAGAATCCACAGAGACAAGGTAACCTGAAAGGAAAATCGAAAAAGAGAAGGTAGGAATCATGTATTCGATACTCAAGTAACTTAAAGTATTTAGGCAATTCAAAATTGAAAAGAGAATGAAATAGATCAATGAAAAAGGGGGAGAAAAGGGCCCCTCTGATAGCGCAGTACCTTTGTACTCCATGCCCCACTTGAGTTTTACCATGACAGGCTTTCCAGTCAAATTGTTCAAGAAAGGTTTAGGATTAACTGGTACAGTCTGCAATCATAGAACTGAAAGTTTCAAATTGCAAAGACTAGACAAGGGTATTTTTTCATAAAAAATTAATTCAGCAAAATGGATCAGAAAACACTTTCACAAATAAAGTTTATCATACACTATGGCAATTATGCTCAATTAGAGATATTGTCTAAAAAAATGAAATTTTATTGCAAATTTGAATAATTAAACAATGTGTTAACTTGAAATTCGAGCACAGACATCGTAGACAAAACCAGAGAGAAGGAGAGACGGAACAAATCCAGAGAGCTCACACAAGAAGAGAAAGTCGAACAAACACAGACATCTTAGACAAGAGAGAGAGAGAGAGACTTACAGCCATCTTCGAAGAGTTCACAGCACTTAGCTTTTTCCCAAGTTGAGGTTTAGGGTTTTGCTGAGGGAAAGGGTTTCGGTGAGAGTCAAAACAATGCGTTTCGATTTGGGATTTATTAGGACCCAAGGAGTCGTTTTTCAAAAAAAAAATTGATATCAGCGACATTTTATTATTTTTATGGATGTTTTTATTATTTCTAGTTGATACATATTTGCGTTACACGTGAATCATAATATTTTTTTTTGATCAATCTCTAATTTATTTAAATATTCCTCAACTAATTTTTCAAAACTATTAAGGAAACTCATTTAGCGCGTTTATGATCAATATGTTTTAGATGTGTTTCGCTTTAAAAAGATATCTAAGATTTAATTGGTAATTTTTGGTGTTGTCAAATACAACAGGTTGAATTTTTATAATTTTTTTTTTTGACAAAAACGATATATTGTATTAAATAGAGCAATTTAAATAGAGAATTGACAGTAGAAACTTAGGTGTCATATCCTCCCACACATGAAATTGTTTATAGCATCTTGCCCTTCTAGCAAGACTGTGCGCAGCACAGTTCTCAGTTCGACGGACAGTAAAAATAGAAAAAGAACTAAAATTATGAATAAGACACCTAATATCCGCAATAATAGAACCTAAAGAAGAGAAATCCTCATGAGAGTCAGCTATCATCTTCATCACAGTTGATGAATCCCCTTCTAACATAATTTCCTTACAATCCATTTGTCTAGCAAACAACAAAGCCTCCCTTGTAGCAATACAATTTGTTGTTTGCGCATCATACAACACATATTTTTTTTGACATGCCCGCAATAAATAACCCAAATTCATTCCTGATAATAACACCCAATCCCACAACCCCTTCAGAAGTAAATACTGCTCCATCAAAATTTATCTTGAAAGTACTTGAGCTTGGGGGAGACCACCGAACAAAATCTACCATACCTGATTGCAGCAGAAAAATTGAAAATAAATGGGGCTTTAATTGCTGAGCGATCTTCCAAAACCAGTGTTGAATATGGGTTGCAGGTCGCTGAACCATGTGTCTCAATGGGCTGCCCTCCCAAGACATCTTTGCCCAAAAACAATCCTTTAAAATGTGTAAAATATACTCACTTTCCACTCCACATACACAACACACACAATCCGAACGAATCCTCCTTCGGCATAAATTCTCATTTGTCAGAAGAGCATCCAATAACATTCACCAAGCAAATATTTTAACTTTACTTGGAGCTCGCTGACTCCATAGCGCCTTCCACTTACCATCAGGATTGGATGAGGAGCTTGCAGTAGGCATTCCCAACGAAAATAAATTAACCCCATAAGCCAAATGATATGCATTCCTTACAGAGAATCTACCATTATTGTTGTAATGCCATATTAATTTATCTTCCATCGGAAAAACACTCAACAGAATCCGCTTAATTAATGCAGCTTCATGCTCCAAAAAGACCTCATCAATCAATTGTGTTTTCTAACCTCGCGTGTGGGGATCAATGAGCTGGCTGATCGTAGCCTCCTCTTGTAGTATTTGCCTAAGACTCACCACTTTGAAAGTAGTGGGTGTTGGAATCCACCTATCATGCCATACTTTAATTTTGGAGCCATCACCAATCCTCCACCTTGATCCAGCTTCAATCACTTTTTAGCCTCTAAAATACTCCGCTATGTGTATGATGGCCTGTACCCCAATTTGGCCTCCATGAATGATGTTGACAGGAAATATTTCGCTTTCAAAACCTTATGAAGAAGAGTCTCCGTATTGTGATGGATCCTCCATGCTTGTTTGGCTAACATCGCCATGTTGAATGTTCTCAAGTCCCTAACACCCATTCCGCCTTGATTTTTACCCTTACACATATTAGCCCACTTTACCCAATGAATTTTCCTCTCCCTTTCCTTTTGACCCCACCAGAAATTGGAAGCTAAAGACTCCAAATCATTGCACAAATATTCAGGAAGCTTGAAACATCCCATGGCATATGTCGAAATTGACTGGACCACTGCTTTAATTAGTATTTCTTTAACTCGCGTTGATAATAGACACTCTTTCCATCCTTGTAGCTTCTGCCAAACCCACTCCCTTAAACTAGCAAAGACTTCCTTCTTAGACTTGCCCACCACAGATAGCAATCCTAGGTATTTGTCATGCTGCTGCACACGAGGAACACCGAGTATAATTGCATTTCTCTTCCTCTTATTTCTGGAACATTGTTGTTGCACACCATCGCAGATTTGTCCAAGCTAAGTTGTTAACCCGAGGCAGATTCATATAGTTGTAAAACCTCCTTAATTGCAGCTGCTTTCGATGAGGTAGCCTTAAAGAATAAAAGACTATCATCTGCAAAAAAGAGATAAGAAATTCTTGGGCATCCACGACCCACAGTAATCCCTGAGACAGTACCACTTCTTTCAGCATCTTTGAGCAACGTTGACCTTCCCTCTACACAAAGAAGAAAAAGGTAAGGAGATAAGGAGTCTCTTTGATGGATTCTCCTTTGAGGAAAAAAATAGCCCATTTGCTCATTATTCAACATCAATGAATATGAGACTGACTCCACACATTGCATCATCAACCGTATCCACCCATTTGCAAAGCCCAATGCTCCCATCATTCTCTCCAAGAAAATCCACTCTAGTCTATCATATGCTTTACTCATGTCTAACTTCAAAAAAATATGACCCTCATTTCCCCAATTTTTGCACTTAAGGTAATGGTTAATTTCAAAAGCCACAAGAACATTATCAGTTATTAACCGACCTGGAACAAAAGCACTTTGATTTTCAAAAATAATTGAGGGAAGGATGACTTTCAACCTATTGGATATGACCTTAGATATAAATTTATAGAGAACATTAAATAGACTAATAGGTCGAAATTGTGACATAAACTCAGGACTTTGGACCTTAAGTATTAGGACAATATGGGTGTAATTTAACTTAGAAGGAAAATCACCCCCATTAAGAAATGATAATATACAACTTAGGACATCTGCCCCTACCACATGCCAATACTTTTGAAAGAAAAGTGTTGGCATTCCATCCGGACCCGGAGACTTAGTTGGATACATTTGAGACAAATCTAACATTACCTCATCAGCTCTAAAACATTGTAGTAATCTTGAATTCATTTCGTTGGATACCTTGCTTGTCATTTTGCTCAGAATAGCCCCTATATCTTGATCATGTGGTCTACCCGATGTGAACAGTGATTGAAAATATGCAACAGCTACACTTCCAATTTCTTTCTGCGATGCACACCATCCCCCATGTTGGTTTTTCAACCTCCCTATCCAATTCGTTCTTTTCCTCTGGGAAGCCCAAGCATGAAAAAGGCGAAATTCTGATCCATATCTTTAAGCCAATTCATTCTAGATATTTGGCACCAGTAAGATTCTTCATGATCCATTAGCTCATCCAATTTAGCCTTTAGGGACCGTTGTTGTTGTCTAACAACTGTTGAAATTGTTCCTTCTTGAAGACGTTCAAGATTCTTTTTCAACAAGTCAATTTTAGCATGGACAAATCCAACATTTTCTTTTTTCCACTTGAGTAATCCTAGTCTACAATTCTGAATATTCATAATGATCCCCTTCGCACCCACCTGTGATATCCCAGGCTCCGATGCATTCTTAATCATAGCTTCGCAATCGTTTCTCTTGACCCAAGCTACCTCAAATCTGAATTTCCTCCAATGTCTAGCAGTTATATTCATTGGATTCCTAGCATCCGTGTCAATAAGAACCTTATAATGATCCGACGCCCTACTAAAAATGTGACGCACCCCAACATTCAGAAATAGATCAATCTAATCAGTGGTAGCACAAGCCCTGTCCAATCTCTCTCATACTGTATGAGGATACAACCGATTGTTACACCATGTATATTGATATCCCTTATAACCAAGGTCTATTAAAGCACAGCTATCCAAAGCATCTCTGAAGTCTCTCATCTGTCCATATGGTTTCTCCCTCCTACCCATCTTCTCACTATTTGTAAGAATTTCGTTGAAATCACCAGCACAAATCCATGGTAACTCGCAATGTGACCGAAACAAACGCAAAAGAGACCAGGACTCCGACCATCTAGACACCTCTGGGTTCCCATAAAATCCAGTTAAACGCCAACCGTGGTGTTCATTATTTCCATCAACAATTACATCAATATGTGCCCCGGAGAAACTTTGTAATGATACATATACATTACTCTGCCATAACAAAGCCAATCCCCTTGATAGCCCCAACGAATCAACTGAAATCCCATTCATCTTCAGTCGTCTTTTCAGTCTTTCAATACCATTAGCTTTACATTTTGTTTCCATCAAGAAAACAATATGAGGCCTTTCTCTCTTCATAAATTCGTGAAGAAATAGAACTGTCTGAGATTGTCCAATTCCTCAACAGTTCCAACTTACTATTTTCATGGCAATCGGCAGGTCTAGAATCCAAACTTTGTCGTTGTAATGTTGAATTTTGAGACCCATCCCCAAAACATACCTCATAAAAAATAACCCTCTTCTTCGAAGCCGACTGCACAACATCCTCCACGGGTTCCTTTGCATTTACTAACTTAACTCGAAGCAGTCAAATCTCTAACTTTCCGTTTCCAAGTTTTCAGATTTTGACTGCCCTGATTTCCTTCCACCAAAACTACTTTCCCTTTGAGTGCTTCGTTGTCCTTTATTTCAATCTGAGGCTGAGACCCACAGATCCTAGACTTAGATAAATCCCCTTTAGATAGTAAATGGATTTTCTAAACATGTGGGCTAAGATATTCCTTATCCACCAAAGACATGGTCATGTCCGCCTGTCCCATTTATGATATTTGGGTCACCATTAATTCTGGCCCAACTGATTTTTTAGGCCCATCCTTTCTCTGAATTGCCTTATTTAGTAAGTTCTCCACCAAATTATCAGATTTAACCATAGTAGACCCACATCTCCCGCCATAAACAGTTTCTTCCTCACCCACTTTCAGTTTACCAATATCTCCTG